AATATGAGTCATTGAAGACATAATAGAGAATATATGTTAGGAAATATTGATAAGTTTCTATCACCAACTAAGTGACGAGATGGTATTATTGAGATTGTGATTGGAATGAGATTAAAAGGTGGAAATATATGGATTCTTGATGTTGTGAGGTTTGAAGGAAAACCAAGAATTTAGGAATGTTGTTAGAGTCTTCTATATGGATAAAGACTTAGAATAGAGCATAATGATTTGTAATGTATTTGGTATGCTAACAAGTCTTGAGTTAGAAAATTCTTAATCATCGTGGGATGATAAGTGAGTTATAAGTGGACTATGTAATGTGTTGGGCGATGGTGTCTCATCGACGAGATCAAATGAGAAGGAAATTGTGTAGGCACGTGTAAATATCAAAGGAGATTATTTGGACTGTGGTGCTTTAGGTGACTTTGAGTGCATGTTCTAAAGAAACGATATTATAGTTAGTAATGATGGTTTATGTCCCACCATGTTTGTCGCCTACTTATTGATAAATTGAGGAACTGATCACCCTCAATCTATTATTGATAATAGACAAGATCGTGTTGGACGGGATAAACTTGTCTTGCTAGCTTGATGGTGTGTAAAGTGACTGACGTTTTACCGAGAGGGTAGACGTTCACCATTTCATGAGAGTCCAATAGAAAAGAAGATATGAAATAGTTGGGATTTGTTGAACAATTCAAAGACTTGAGTTGTATACGACCTAACGTCGCAGAGTGGGAGGTTGAGAATATAAAGTTTGTCATCAACTGGATGTGAAATTGTAGGCCTGGTAGTTAATAGAAATCAAAGTGAGGACAGTGACTTTAAAGTAGATGATCAGAGTAGCACAACTGATGTATGATATAACACAGTTTGTTGCAAGTGTGTGATTGTAAGATTCAAGGGTTGACCATCAGAAGCATGTGAGAATGATGCAAAACCATTGGACATTCTAGAAGGGAGGTGATAGGTGAAGAGTTTATATGTTATTGGCATTATTGTTGTGTTAATAGATTTATTAATTTAAGTGTTCGACTGATGAATCGTAGCATCAGAGTACTAATATTGTGTGTCAATGTTGTCGATATTATAGTTGAGATGATGTCCTTGTGAAGGTGTTTCTCTTGAATTAAAATGGTTAACAATGTTTAATGTTGATGAGTGATATTCAAGATACTGCCATATATGACGTGGGAATTGGAAAGTTGGATGCGAGAGTTGTGTTCGAAATGTGTTGCATCGAGTAATTTTCGAGGAAGGAAATATTCTAAGTGGGGGAGAGTTGTAACGTCCCATTTAAATATTTAGTCATTTGATGATTGGATTTGTAGAACTATTTTGGCTTGACTAAAGGGGTGTGAGAACTTAGTATGATTCGATAATTTGAGTAAGTTTTGAATAATATTATAATAATGATAATTTTGGTGAAGGACGAAATATCCCATTATTATTAATAAAAATATTATTGTTGGTTAAATGGTGTATTTGCCACTAATGATATTATTATTATTATTAATATTATAACTATTATTATTATTATTATTATTATTATTATTATTATTATTATTATTATTATTATTATTATTATTATTATTGGGAAATAATAAGGAATAATTGGGAGAGTGGTAGAAGGAATTGAGAGATTTGTTTCACGTGAAAAGAAAAGAAGAGAAGAAAGGGGAAGATGAGTTAGGGCAAGAGGGAAACAAGAGGAATTCCCACCATTGTTGAAGAATCAAAGCTCCAAATTAAAATAAAGGGGGGGGGGGGGGAACGAGTTCTTTAAATGGTGATTATAACATGAAAGGGTAGTGAGTGTTCCTTTCCCTCTTAGGGTTTTGTGTAGATTTGGTGTATTATGATTCTTTTTGTTGATTGATGATATACCTATGTGATTCTATGTAGAATTGTGAATAATTTGATGTCCATGATATGATTGTTGTTGATAATTTTTTATGTTGTGGTGTTGTTTCATGAAATTCCTAAATTAAAATTGTAGATCTAGAGAGAGATGATGAAAAGTGAGGTTTTGATGCAGAAAGTTGTTATAGAATAATGGTTGAATAAAATTGGATTAGGACTATGAGTTGTTGTGTATAAAAACATTGTTTTGGCTCAAATTGGTAGCTTAGAAGTGTGTAAAACGAGTAGAATTTATACAAGTGCGAAAAACAGGAATTTTGTGTTGTAGACTGGCCATACGCGTATGAGGGAGGTCATACGCGTATGGGGGATATTCCCAGGGACCGTACGCATATGGTATGTGCCCTTTCCCCAAGCCGGCATGACTTTCTACTGGAACGCGTATGATACGCGTATAAGAGGAAGGTCATACGCGTATGGGCTAGCCATTACGCATATGGGAAGTTCTAGAGAGGTTTTGGGGAGAAATTTCCCTCTGGTGGTATGCATATGATACACCTATGATATCTAGCTGTTTTGGCCATACGCGTATGATACGTAGGAAGTGGGGAGAGAAAGTGAGTCATACGCGTATGAGGCAGGGCCATACGCGTATGAATTGGCTGAGGTGCAGATTTGTCTGTTTTCGCGATTTTTTTCGTTTTCGCGTGCAATATAATTTCTCTTGGGCTGTAATGATTAGTATGACTTAGACGGATATAAAAAAGTTTGTAATAATGAGAATTGTGTTGAAACATAGAACTTAGTGGAGATTTTGTATGGCGTTGATGTTGAGTGATGTGACCTAATATCTGGTTGTTGTACGAATGATGTATGAAGAAATTTCTTAGGATGTTATGTTGTTGTAAACGTTATTGCTATCAAATATACATGATAAATTGATAACTTGTTTAGTTTTTGTGATGCTATGAAGTTATGTTGTTGTAGTGTTGTTGTTTTCGAATATACATGAGGAATTGTTAATATGCTTAGTTGTTGTAATGCTATGATACTACGTTGTGATACTATGATGTTATGTTGTGTAATATTGTTGTTGTTGAATGTTCATGATGGATTGATAATATGCGTATGTTGTTGAAATATTTGATGAAGTGCGATACGATGATTTTGCATGGTTCGATGTATGCAAGTATGTTGCTACTATTTGCTATTGTTATCGTTGCATGTATAGTGAGGGCTTATACTGTGTTGGTGGCCTTTATTTGCAAGATGTTATGGGCTTATGCCCTATAAGTGTATATTTACGTTGTTGCATGTTGGTGTTGCATGCATACATTGGTGAGGGCTTATGCCCTGTTGTTGGCCTGTAATGGCACTGTATTGAGGATTTATGCCATGTTGCTGTCCTATATCGCATTATGCTGTGGGCTTATGCCCTGTTGGTACCATATGCATTGAGTTGTTGTCGGTTGTATTGCATTGCACTATCTTGATTTGATGTGGTGTTATGTGAATGATGAATGTGTTGTGAAGTATTTGGGTGAAATGTGAGTTATATGATTTGTGTGATATTACTACTCCTTAACATGTGATATTCACCGTTATTTATTGAATGTAATTCTCACTCCTTTTTTGTTGTTGTCACTGTGCTCCTCCGAAAGTACAGATAATTAGGTATTTGAGTATTGCTTGGAGTATGAGTTGCTTGATCGAGTCTTAGGAGTCACTCTGATACGTAACACGGGATATTATGGGAATTTGGTATTTTTCGTATTTGTTACGTATCTTAACTTCAAATTTATGTTGAACCACGAGTTTTGTGGAGAATGTTGTTATTAAAGCCATAGTGCTATGAGAATGAATAATTAGATATTTTCTCTATGTAAATAATTCTTTTATGATAAATGAAGTAATAAAATGATTTGAAATTTTATGAGTTTTTGAAAGATGTGACATCCTACTTGTGTACTCTGATGTATTTTCGTATATTATATTATAAATATTCTTGTGGAGAAAGTGGGGTGTTACATGTAGCCTACTCTTCTTGAGGTACAAGTCTATAATGGTTGATAACCATCGGGCTTCTCTGGACCTCTTTTAGTGAGTCTTTTCTCACGTGCCTCGAGAGATCCTTGAAGTTCTTCTACCTTCAATTCCCCGGGCTTCTTGGATTCTTCAATGGCTATAACTATGTGGTCGAATTTGGGATTGAGTGTTCTCAGAATCTTTTCTACAATAGTTTGATCTTAGATTTTTTCACCATAAGTCTTCATGGTATTCATGTGAGTGATCATTTTGTTGAAGAATTCAACTATCTTTTCATATTCTCCATTTGCATCAATTCGTATTGACGTCCCATCGTCTGTAATCTCACATTCTTCAATTGTTTTGCGCCTTCACTGCATTTCTCCAGGATCTTCCACTCTTCTTGCGAAGTTGCAGCGCCAACAATCTCCTTAAAGTGCGCATCATCAACACATTGATGAATCAAGAAGGTTGATTTACAATCTTTCTTCTTAATTTCTTTGTGAAGTGCCTTTTGTACATCTGTGGAATCTTCAGTGAGCGTTGGATAACCTTCTTCGACGATTTATGTGGCTTCTTGATAGCCCAAAATCACCTTCATCTGCACATGCCCCCGATCCCAATTCTTTCCATCAAGAACGGGAACATTTGTTGAGAAATTTGTGTCAATTAGTCCCATTGTGCATGTCGCAAAGATCCCTCAATCGGAAACAAGCTCTAATACCGATTTGTTGGGACAAATATAAAACCACACACACTTGATGAGAGAAAGGATGCGAGAGAAAAGTAATTTCTATTACTCTAAATTCATATTTCAATACAATGAGGGAATGTTAATTAGTAGCAAACAAAAATAAATACTACTAATAGAAAGTCAAATATAGAAATTCAACACCTAATTGTTTGGATAACTTCTATCAGATAACACTCTCTCTAAAGAGATTTAATAACACTACTCAATTTCCACTATAAGAATTAAACTCAAAAACAATACTTAACTGAGATTATGTTTAGCTTGATGCTTTGAGAATGTCATGTATGCTAATAACCTAATCAAGTAGATGGTATTGGCTGAAACCTACTTTTAATAGATGCCAACATATCATAATATTCTAAATGGTTGAAGCAATCACGAAAATCAGTAAAAAGTTTCTCGAACACCCTCCATTGAACTTTGACAGATGTAGTGTAAGGATATGTGGAAGAAAAACCTGCTGAAAATTATTCCAAAATTAATTAGATGGTACAAAGAGACAAAATATTGATGAGTAAAACTTAGTAAAATCAAGAGAAAATTTCAAAGTCTAGTTGAAGTAGTTTATCAAACTAGAAGCTAAGTTATTGTGCGTGACAAAGAGATTGTAACTAAAACTTACATCCCCTCCGTGTGCAAGGTGTTTAAGTAAGCAAAAGGTGTGGTGGTTTTCTTCCAAATTATCAATAACAGCAAGCCAAACCATGGATGAAAGTTCATGAGCTACATCTCTTGATTTGTCACAAGTTATGAACTGATATGGTAAATGGAAAAGAAATGATCAAAGTTGTAATAAAACATTTTATGTAGCAATATAAGTAAAAGAGGATGTGGTATGACACATACCAATGATGGTTCCATGAAGTATTCCACTATGAGGAGGCACATTAGAAAGTTGAAGCCGCTTTGGCAAAAACAGATTACTCTGTCCAAGTGTCATGAACTATTTGTTATAAACTGAACTTTTTGTTTAAAATAAAAAAAGGGATGTACAATTGAACTATCATCATCTTGACATTTGATATCAAAAGTTACATTGAACATAAACTATATCAATATCAATATACAATAATGAAAATGAAATCGAATAGATGCAAAATAAATTCACAACATCCCTCCCCTTTCCCCAAAAAGTAGCAAGATCAAATGATATTACAACAATTACATTGAGGAGAATCCCTTGTGGGCTATAGGCCTCCAATCTGTTTCTTCTTCCCCATATGTTCCGTAACGACGACTCATGGAGTGTTATTGTTATATTGCTTTCAAGCAGTACAAGTCTTGAACTAGTGATCAATGCTCATCAGTAAAGTGATTGGGCTCTTGTAAACACAAATACACCTCCTCCACCAACAGCACGACCCAAAAGCATATTATCATCCAAATAGCTCAGGTAATATAGTCCTCCTACCGATTCCCTGCAATCGAAAAGAGCATTATGTGTATAATTTGCCACTAAAGACACTTGAATCATTTCAACAGTGGGGCGTCATATATATGTATATATACATATATACCTTCCCGAGTCCCTAACAAGGATTTGAGCTTTGAAAGTACGGAGATATTGCAAGATCTGCAGGAGAAAAGTACACTGTATGAGTTATGCCGTATGTATACATAGCTGGTTTGCAGTGGTCGTCATTCACATAAAATAGTATTTTATTTGAGGCAGAAACTTTTTGGTGGCATAAGCTACTGGTGTCAATGGTATGTCATATAAAGTGTGAGCATTCAAATTAAAAATGCAAGATGCAAAATGAAGGTTGAGATATACCTGTAAACTTATAAAAGATCTTGGTAGTATTGCTGGAGATATTAGAGCCTGGAGCTGTTCACTAATATTTATATCTTGAAGTGTGATCTGCTAGGTATAAATTGCAGGTTGTTGAGACAAGCTTCGTGACCATTGTAGAAAACATGTTGGTGCAAGTAAAGATGATTACCTCTTGAAATTGAAGGTAAATATTGCGTGCGGAAACAAGAGTAAATTTGGCAGATACAAGCAGTGTAGCACCTTCTTGTTCCTACAAGAGTTGGGCTGAAGGTGAGAACAATAGAGATCAAGGGTCAAGCAAAGTTTGTCATAAAATTTTGTTATTCCAAGCATCTAAGGTTAGCAAGAAACAATGTGTGAGCTAGCTTTTGAGGATTTAGACTTATAAGATTATTTAAAGGCACCCTTCAAGAAATTCTTAGTTAGCATGTAAACCACGACGGGTCTTGAGGGTGTTTTACCTCGAAGAAATTTGGAATACTCCAACGGACAACGTTGCGAATGATGCCTCCGGTAGAGTTATGACGGCATTCGAATTTCTGAAATATCTGTCCGACCTATCTCATGGCGGAAGCAAAGAAGGTAAGAATAAAATGGCATTAAATATGACAAGCATAGTTAAAGTTTAGTAATACAATACTTGAAAGAAGGGAAGTGTAGCAGCAGCTTGGAATAGAACGAGAACATCAGGAGCAGAAGTATATTGGAGGCGCCAGGTTCCGTCGAGTTTGTTGAAATCAATTGGTTGACCGACGTTGGTTCCTTCTACATTCACCTAACATAACAGTATGAAACACATTGGTGGTTGGAGAAACAAAAAAGAAAGAGAGTGAGAAATTGAAAATACTAACTAGTGCTTGTTCTATAGAAGAACGTTGACGAGGAGTTGTCAAGAGTCCTCTTTGTGTGTCTTGAAGAGAGGTTAAAAGGACATGCTTTTTGTTCTCTAACACTGAATCATATACCTTCAAATTAAAACAAGCAAATAATTAATCAAGTAAAATTGGAAAATGAATGAATGAGAAAAGGAAACCTTGGAAGCAGATGTCATCATCATAGCCACGGAAACCTTGTAAGCAGATGCCATCATCATAGCCACGGAAGCCTTGTAATTGTTGGGTGTGTGATGAATTCTCCTCCTAGTTCTTGGAGTAACATTGCATAGTGGTGATGAATTCAAAGCCAACAATTCCATCCCCATTATCATGATTATCTAACAAAATGAGTCATTAATTGAACATGAATCAATGAGAATGGGAAATTAACCCTTTTTTTCCCCTTTGCTCAACTTCTGGCCGAGCTTCTTCTTCTTCTGCAGTTCACATCATATTATCTTAATTCTATCTGGTATTGTGTTAGTTCAATTCAACGAATCATGATTCCAACTCGTCAGGATGGCCGAGTGGTCTAAGGTGCCAGACTCAAGTTCTGGTTATCGTGAGAGAGCGTGGGTTCAAATCCCACTTCTGACATTTTTCCAAAAATGCTGTATAACCACTGCACCTTATAACAGAACCAACACAAGAAAGTTTGAACAAAAGAACCACCCTAGTCACACAATATTAACTCATCTGAATCACGTCTCTATCCTTCTATTATTAATCAACTATTGTTATGAACTCCTCCTTATCCTTTATCATAACAAACTCCTCCTTATTTTTTTGTCCCAGGATATTGCATCAAAGGTGATTGTTGCCGACAAACCTGAAGGGAAGTCCAACTTATGGTCATTATTTGAATGGTCGTTGTTTCAATTCATAGGCTCTCAGTGTGAGATAGAGAAACAGATGCGGTTTATTTCTTTGAGGTATTTCGTCGAACAGTTCACTTTCACGTGTAAACCATGACAACCAAAACGATAAAGTCATTGTAAGAATGCAAAGAACTTTTTCATTCACGTTCAAAGAATTCAAATAATTCTAAATCTAAAATCATGGCGAGAATGCAAAGAACCTTTCCATTACCTTCTGTCAACATTTATATGAAAGAAGTCCACCTCTCCATTTACCCGCAATCTCTCTTCTTCTTTTTTGTAGTGTTAGTTTCATTATAAAAAAATAAATTATTAAAACAATATCTCATAATAGTTTCATTAATACTTAAATATATTCATTATAAATTAATTTTATAACAAATAAAACAAATAGACATTCAATCTATCTATTAAATTAATTTAAATATTATAAACTAATTTTAAAATTTTCATTAAAAAAAATATGTTTCATTGACACTTAATAGTTGGATGAATCAAGGGTAAATTTTTCTTAAGGGTGGAAATAGATCAGGCCGATAATAGGAGTCTAAAGCCTAGCCTACATAGATTCGAGTTAGGTTTAGACTTTTTTATAAGTTTATTTAGTTAAAAAAGACTAAGCATCATACCATGAAAAAAATCTTTTAGGTCTAACAGGTTGGTCTATATAAATAAATATGAATAATTTTTTTATTATCATTATGTTATAATAAGATGAAAACATCTTATGAACAATGTTATAAGTTATTTTCACCAGACTTCTTAAACAAATAGTCTCACAAAACTTATGCTAATTGACAAGTTAAAATAAATCAATGCAAATAAACTTTTAGTCTTATTGGTTTTTTAGGTTTTTAGTCTATTTAAAATTATTTAAATGACTTATTTACATATGTCTAAAATAATAGACTTTTATGTAGGCTAACATGTTAATCAGACTTTAGAAAAGGTCATGCTCAGACCTAAAAATAAGCCTATGACAGACTATAGATCAGGCTTAGGCTTCAGTTTTTTTTGCAGGTCAAACAAAAATTTGGCTAAGTCTAACTCGGTCCAGCCTATTTCCACCCCTAATTCCCCCTCATCCTCCCCTCGTTATTGATTTGGAGAGGCATGTGATAAAGTGTTTGAAAGAAATATTATAGAAACACGCACAATTTTCTCATAACAATATAATTGCACTAAGGTTCAACTCTAAATCTAAAATCATAGAGAGAATGCAAAGAACCTTTCCATTACCTGTTGTCAATATTTACATGGAAGAAGTCTACCTTTCCATTTACCAGCAATATTAACTTTTTTAAGTTATTATTGTTTTTCAGCTATTTAAAGGGGGTTTAAAACTCCCGCGGTCTCTCATTTTTTTGTAGTGTTGATTTTAAGTGACGTGACGTGTCATGTGTCATGCCACATCAATTTCTGTTAGATCAAATAGACGGCATGAACCAAAAATATAGATGAAAAAATTTATGAAAATCATTCTTTGAAGAAATTTTTTATAAAGACTTAAACTGGATTTTAAATTATTATAGGGACGAAAAATATATTTAACCCTTTATTTTAAAATAAATCTAATGCATTCTTTTTTTTTTACTATTATTATTTTAAATTCATTTGATTGCTTTTGTAATAAAAATATATCTATTTAATTATTTTACTTTTATCATTTTAAATTCATTTGATTACTTTTGTAATAAAATATGTCTATTTAATTATAAATTCCAAATTATTATAATATGAATGCTTTTTTTCTTTCATTATAAAAAAATAAATTATTAAAACAAACAAATAAATCATTAAAACAATATCTCATAATAATTTCATTAATACTAAAATATATTCATTATAAATTAATTTTATATACAAATAACAAAAATAGACATTCAATCTATCTATTAAATTAATTTAAATATTATAAACTAATTTTAAAATTTTCATTAAAAAAGTATGTTTCATTGACACTTAATAGTTGGGTGAACCAACGGTGAAGATACGGTGGCAGAATCGACTATTTATATTGGTTTTGTGTTTGTGTTCGTAAATGTTGCGGTAAGCAAGAGTTGTCACCGACTTTTCTTTTATCCAAATTAAGGAAAGGGTGAAAAGAACAGAAAAAGATATTTTCGAGAGTTTTCTGAGTAAGAGGGGTAGGTTATGGAAAGGGAAGGTGTTAGCACCCTTTCCATCCGTAGTTTTCTACGGGCTCTCAGATGCTTAGCTCATTTTTTAAATACCTTGTGCTTTGTGTTTTTGAAAAGTATTTTTGAAAATGCCTTAGTGCGGCGATTCGTTTTATGATAACTCTTGTATCAGTCTTCAAGACTGTTGATATAGCAAACGTTTTTAAAAGTTTTTTTGGAAACATTTTTGTGCAAGTGTAAAAGAAGTTTATTTTGAGCAAGCATCTAACAGTTATCTACTTATACTCGAAAAGGTTCGTTCTTTTCCTCCTATCCTTTAGACAGTGCTATCCTACTATTAGTGAGTAGGTAGTCCTATCGTTGGATGTTTGAGAGACAATCGAATGGACGTTTTTATAGTTACAAAGACAACTGGGCCAGAAGCTTTAGTAGCTACCCTATGATTCTAATATCATATTTTTACCGAGGCAACATCGAGAGGGTCATCGAGGGACTTATGATCTTTTTGAACCAGAGGGTAGCCACTAAAACCTCTCACCTTTCGAGAGTTGTGACTATTTTCCGAAGACAACCAAAGTGGGATACCCTAGAGGTGTATATGTGTAATATGTGTTATGTTCAGTTATTTTAGTCTTGAGTTAGGTTTGCTAACGTTTAATTATTAGGATCTTGTCATGCAATCCTATTATCATACATCTAGGCAGTTAATATATGTACAAGAATTAAAAGTGCGGAAATGTAAATCCTATGCTATTACAATGCTTCGGGGAGGGGATATTGTAGCAACTGGTTTTTAAATCAGAGTCGCCACTATTATTTTTTATCTTAGGAAAGAGTATCTAACAGAAAATACTAATTCGTAGACAGAGATTCTATATTTCGGACTTCTTTAGACGAAAGGAAGGCGTTAGACACCTTTCATCTACCTTGTTCACAAGGATATTAGGTTTTAGGTTTAGGTTCGGGTAAACAGGATTTAAATTTATTATTAAGGGAAAAGAGTTTTAATTTTTAATAGGGGAAGGGTTTATTTTTTTTATAGGAGAACTCACTATGACTTTTGATCGTATGCCTACGTATCCTCTTAAGAGGAATCAGAGTCCCAATTCGTAGTTCGTATGGGGTTGGTGTTTTTTAGGGGTTGCAAACGTATTTTGAATCACCTCGCACTTTGGTCGGGAATAGTGATTGCGGAGATTTTGACTAAATGCACGGTAAGTCAAAATCTGTTTGAAACCGTTTTGCAAAAACAATTGATTAGCGTAGTTTATTGCGAAAAAATGGTTTGATGTTTGTTAGTATTTTTTTTATTGTGTTAGTTGTGAAGATCTTGATTAATGCGTGAGTATGGAAAATACTTTAATGCAAATATATAAGGAAATAATATATCAATTTTGAAAAAAAATAATTTAAATGATATAATAAATAATAATATTTACATACAATAAATAATAATGTAATAAATAATATGAATAATAAACATTATAAAAGAAATAAATAATAGTAATAATATAAAAATAATATTAATAATAATTATATGAAAATTAATAATAATAATCATTAATTAATAAAAAAGAAAATAGAAAATTAGAATTATATAAAAAAATATAGAAAACAATGGTTAAACAGGGGGGTGTATTTTTATGGTATGTAGTAAAATATGGGGCCTGTTAAGAAACTGGTTGGGCCCAGATATAATTCAGATCAGGGGGGTGTGAGCTGTTTGATAGTTCAGTAAAGTGGCAGAAAGGGTGTAAAAATCAATGGGCTTGGCCCAAACGAGTTTGAAGGGAGGGTCAGTGTATTCTAGTGTGGCGAGGGTATACAGATCTTAGTGTGGAACTTAGTCTATGGCCGTCCATTATGATCAAATGGGTATGATTGAGAGGCTCATGATAATTACTATGGGCAAGCGTGCATGCGATTGGGACGGATTACAAAATTTTCATTTTTGTACAATTTTCATTTTTTACAGTAAATCAATCTTCTTCTTTCTCTCTCGTACACAACCCTCTCTTTCTGTAACCCCAACCCTTCTTCCCACCACCGCGGCGGATACCAACCCTTAACCCCCATCATGAATCAAACCCCACAACACCAATACAAAAGAAAAATAAAGCTAATGAGTTTACCCTTTCGCGATTGTCTTGCTGATTCTTGTTTTTTCTTGATTCGGGACTAAGCGCTTTCTTGATCTTGTAGGCTCCGACGTCGATTGAAGGTGATGATGAGCGATCGAAGGCGGCTATCAGCGACGATTGTGGTTTCAGACAACGAAACCCCAATCGTCCTCCTCTTCTTCAACGGTGTTGG